GTTCCTAAATTCACGAGTAAGTTGCGAAAACGGGGTTAAATCAAATATATACTGCGAAAACCAAAGCAACACCATCTCTATAATGTAATTCTTTACAGTTTTTTATTAGGATTTCTATAATTTATTTTATTATTTACATCTACTTAGGATTACTCAAGGGCTACTAGCTTTGGCTGGTCATAGTCAGCTTGTTTCTAAAGTTAATTTAATCCTCGTGTATTCGGCTACAAGTTAGAAGTATTTGTTCTTTTCCCTGTCTAGGTTTTATGAGAAAACCTCTATCTTGCACTTTTTTATTTTTGCAATTTTCGAATCGAGTAATGTTCATTTTCATCTTATTTTTTTCCTTTTCGCTTAATATTGATTTTAATTTTATCTCCTGTTTACTCTAATATGTTTTTTTATTATTTTTCCTATCCATTTTTTATTTATTATTAATGCTATTTACCTCGTTGCACATGGTACTTCCTTAAAATTATTTTTTTTCTTTCCATAAAGCCAAGGAAATCAAAGTGTTTGATGCATATGGATTAGCTTGCAACTGGCATGAAGTGGCCAGGCCTCAGGTGCATGGCTACAATATGAATGCTCTTGCATGTCTTCCTGGGCATCGCTTTGCTTCTGCTGGCGACGAAAAAGTCTGTCGCCTCTTCACAGCGCCTCGACATTTTGCTAGAATCTACGCACGTTTAAGGCAGCGCCCGGAACTCCTCTACAAACAGTCCAGCTATACGAAGGATGAGACAATCGGAGGAGCAGACTGTAGTGATGGCATTGACGGTGACTTTGATGATATCGCCAGATTTCCTGCTGGTAAGCTTGGCTCGCTGATTCTGCTTTTGAATGACTTACTGCATTCTTTGTTGCTACGACTCATCTTTTCAGCAAAACGGCTGTTTCGCAGAAGCATTATATAATTGATGTACAAAAGTAGCTAGTTAATTTATTTTAGCTTGCTTTATGATAAGCATTATTGTTGTTGAAAAGACTGCGAGTGAAAGTGTCGAGTAGCTTAAACTTTATATCATCTTGAATGGTTAAAAACAAAAAGTCTTCTCGTTACTATCACGAAAGCATCATACCAGTTCAATGGCTAGATGTCAACAAGCGAAAATTGATCTTCGCATTGAGCATCACAAGCTTCGATATCTTGGCTGTCTGATTTACTGAACCCTTGTCATAAAATATTTATCATCGTAATGCAAGGCGTCTATTGGGGAATTCATTGTACTATACCAGACATCCTTTCGTCCTAAAATAAGATGATTCTGTCGACAGAAAGAAATCTCGCTTTTGATCGTTTTTGGTACTTTTGTTTTTTTTAGTTCATATTGAACCAGCATAACTAACTACCATGAAATTGTGTTATTATGTATTGAATACTGATTTGTCTAGATCTATCAGGCTTCCTTGCGAAAAAATCAAATCTCATTTTGAATCCACTCTCATAATGGAATATGGGGCCTCAATTCAAGGACAACAATAACATGAAATTATTTCATATTTCGTGGTAATCTCGCTTTTATACATTTTCACCTAAAAGTTTGGCACAACTTAAAGTTCTAGACTGATTTTAAAGAGATAGTCAGCTTAATACAGATATATTTTTGATAGAATCCCCCTGAGTCAAAAGTGCTACAATTCAATGATAACGCGTCAATTCCGAATATATAATTAATTAGGCGTCAACTCAAAACCATAACTATGGTCTGTTATCAATTCTGGGTATTTTAGGCTTGTCTATAAATCCTCTTACCCCCTAGGCTAGAGAGGCAGTAAAAGCGCGTTACATAATTTCTAAATTTTTATTACCATTTGTCTTAAACTTTGTGCAAATATATTTAGATGTTTCACCTGTTCAATTCTGTTGAAATGATACATTATTACAAACAACTTGACTAGGAGAAGTAATTTGATTATCATAAGTAGGCGATGTTAGGGGACAAAATAATTTATTTGTTTTGAATGAATGTTTCTTTCAAATTGGAAATAATAATGTGCTTTTTTTGGTGAAGATTTAATGAGAATCCATGTGAACAGTTAAGTGAATCAGAGACACAACGTTATAGCAAAAGTGGTTTTGATAATGCTGAGAAATAGACATATTAGCAAATAACTGTTGTTAAAGAATAGTAGTGCTAAGCTCGTTTACTGGAATTATGGTAAATCAAGAAGACACTACTTTTCACTTTTCCATATTTCGCGATTGTCTACGGTTGATGCAAGACGAGTGTTATCTTGATTGCCT